CAAACGCAGCACCCACGCCACACAGTCAGCCGCTAACCTGGCAAGAAGCCCAAGCGACACCAAAAACACATGCACCTCAGGGACGTCCTGCCCGGAAGCACCAGGGACAGAGCGACAGAGGAAAGCAAAGCCAAGGCCCGAGCAGCCCTCCCTAAATAGATCTTAACTTTGGAAGACACCCACTTGATTGACTATCAGACTGTTTTCTATGTCAGTGTTCTGGGCACTTGACTGCTGCTGTAAACAGACTTTAAAAATTGTGGACCTATTCTTCAATGTGAAATTTATGAAATACCAGAGTATTTATATAGTGATATTAACATTTTCATGTAATCTTTATGAGCATCAAGTCATATCTCTAAATCACATCACTTTTGTTGGTTTGGGCCAAAAGGTAGGTCAATCCAAAAGCTAAAATATTAAAACGCAGGCAAGTTGTACCTGAGCAGGAACTGAGCATGCTCCATGGATCACCGTGGCCACCCATGTTAAACTATTGTGAACACTTTCTTTGATCAGTGTAGCTATTGCCTTTCTAAGCCTGGCCAATATTCAATCATGTCTTCAGTACTGTCAAAATGGAACCCCCCATGGGGCCAAGCTGCGGCCCCGCGATGGGGTGTCATGTCCAAGCAGCAGAGGGCTATTGGTGAGCGACCTGACCTCTAATCTCTAATCATGGTCCAACCGAGAGGCAGAGCTGCAGGGTAATTCCTTCCCGAGAGAGAGAGGTAAAAGGCCAAGGCAACACCAGGGTCTCAGATTGAGGATTTCACCCCCCTAGTGTGTGTTGCAATTATAGCATCCCCTGGCTATACACAAAAGTGCATAATAGAGCACGACCAGGCAGCGCTGAGAAAAAAACTCTTCTTGGCTCCGAAGTTTGTTGCTTGGGTGACAAGGGCCCAGTTCATTTCCACGTTCCATCACCAACTCTTTCACAGCTTAGTGAAATACCCAGCGAGTGAGCTCTGGTGTCTTTAGGTTTGCCAAACATCCACTTGTTGACTAATAAACCCTTATTTAATCCATGCCTGTATAAGGATTTAAAATGAAGTCCTTCACTTTTAGTTTTACCCCGTGGAGCCCTCATCAAGTTTTATTTACCAGACTTTTTGAAAGGATTGCAAACATTGCCGTCTGCTTGATTTAACATGAACTGAAACACATTCTTTTGGGATAAGTGCACCAACTATGCCCGAAATCTTTAATGGATATTCAGTGTTGCGAGCGCTGGGTGGGGCGGTGACGGTACCCGTATCACAAACAGAGGGCAAGATGGCTGAGGATGTGAACGGCAGGCCAGGAGTTCTGCTTCAATGCATCTGAATGCAGGAGAGGAGGAGAGGAGCGCACCCCGTCCCCTCCGCGGTTTCAAAACCGAGCACCCTGAGCTTTCCGCTCAAACCTCTTTGCCCTTGCATTGCTCCCCCTTTCTCTATCTCGCCCACCCCCATCTCTTTATATGTCCAGCTGGCTGCACCACAATGACTCTGTCTCACAGTTCCAAATGATCCTCAAACCCCCACATTCTTTGTTCTTCTCAGTTTCCCACTCCCCAGAGACAGAGTTTAGTAGCAAAAATTAAAATGAGGCAAGGGTGGAGGGAAAGAGTAAGATATGGGAGAGAGAAAGATTTAAAAGGTGAGGTAGAGTGAGAGAGAGTGTGTGAGAACCAGAGAGCAAACCAAGCAATAGACTTTGGGGATTTTGGAGACCTTGACTTTGCAGACTTCAAGACAGTGAGGAACTGTTGCAGACATCTTTTGCATTGTCACCTTGACATATAAACTGCAGCAGAATGTTCTCAAATTGGCAATCTTGCTGACAAGTCAAAGTGATAGAACCCAAAGATTTTTTGTTAATGTTAAAGGGAGTTTCTGGAACCTCTCCTTTAGTTTCATTGCACTCTAATCGGCTCGTTTTTCAGTGCCACTTTCTGCGGGGGCTAAGATCATGTTTTGCGGTAATCATGCGGTCAATTACAGGCAACAAGTCCCTCCAGGTTGAAAGGTTTTAGATCCCCTGTCCCACCCTGCTGAAATACCCCAGTTCCCCAGCTTGTGTGAAATCATGCGGTGGATTGTTGCATGGAAAAAGAACCACAGTATGGAGATGTGGGCTGGAACTAATAGGATTGGTTTTGATTCATTAGATTCTCTTTCATCATCCTGGTTGGAATTCCACTCCACGTCTCCTTGGACTTCACACTTTTAAAATGGAGGTGGGGGCGGGCAAGTGTTTAGAATTGCGCCTCCAGACTGCAAAAGCTCATTACTCTCTATGCTATCATCTGCTTATTCATACCCCATGGAATCAGCATCATAACCATGTGAATGAAGCTCTGTGTTTGTCAAAGTACTGACAACACAGTACAGGATATGATTCAATGGTTGGCGAAATGCGTAACCAAAATGTAGAATAGCAATGCACAATTGCAAAACACATACACAGCTTCTAAATAACCCCTCAAAGGGAAATCTACTAGAAACTGTTGTTTACATATGTTATGTTACATAATGCTGTGACGAAATGGAGATGTTTGACAAAGTTGGCGCCCAAGGACGCTAGGTGTGAGTAGTAGATGTTTCTTTTCATAAATCACCTGCCCAATTCTCAATTAAAGCTCTTCCTACACACACATAAACTAACGATGCACCTTCCTAGCTGTTGGACCAGCTAGCAGTTTATTTCATGAATAGCTTAACGGAATAGTTTGAAAATGAAAAATATGCTTATTTGCTTTCTTGCTGATAGTTTGTTGAGAAGATTGATACCCCTCTCTAATGTTTGTACGGTAAATAAGAAACTACAACCGGCAGCCGGCTGACTAAGCTTAGCATAAAGACCGGAGGGAAACAGATAACCTTGCTCTGTCCAAAGTCAACAGAGTTCACCTACCAGCAGATATGGGGACTTAGTCTTGGGACTGGGACTCAAGAATCTCTGTGTTTGAGGGGTTAGAGGGATGTCTTACAGTAGATTATAAACTGTCATCAGTGAGACACCCAGTGTAATTATACAATATGGTTGTACTCTAACTGCTATTGAAGAATAGGCTACGGTTATTATTGCATGCCTAATAATGTTAGCAATATTATTCTGGTACCCTGAATGACCTCAGTCCTTATCTATTTTTCAGGGCAAAATACAGTTATTTAATTGGAATGAAAGTTTTCATTGTTTAATTTCTTATATATAGCTATGCTGTGTTCTAAGCAGACCGGACTACATGCAGCAGATGATAGAACACTCATTACAATCAGAAGAGACCTGCCACTTCTCTTGGACTCTAGCTCAAACATGAGACTTGATTTGCACTCCACCTCAAAGTCTTAAAACTTGGACTCTAACTCAAAGCCTTGAGACACGACTTGGACTCTAGCTCAAAGCCTTGAGACGCGACTTGGACTCTAGCTCAAAGCCTTGAGACGCGACTTGGACTCTAGCTCAAAGCCTTGAGATGCGACTTGGACTCTAGCTCAAAGACTTGAGACTTGACTTGGACTTTAGCTCAAAGACTTGAGACTTGACTTGGACTCTAGCTCAAAGACTTGAGACTTGACTTGAGCCCAAAGACTTGAGACTTGACTTGGACTCTAGCTCAAAGCCTTGAGACGTGACTTGGACTTTAGCTCAAAGACTTGAGACTTGACTTGGACTTTAGCTCAAAGACTTAAGAACAGACTTGGACTTTAGCTCAAAGAGTTTTGACTTGGACTCTAGCTCAAAGACTTGAGTTTTGTCTTGGAGTCTAGCTCAAAGTCTTAAGACTTGGACTTTAGCTCAAAGACTTAAGAACAGACTTGGACTTTAGCTCAAAGACTTGAGACTTGACTTGGACTCTAGCTCAAAGACTTGAGACTTGAGCGCAAAGACTTAAGAACAGACTTGGACTCTAGCTCAAAGACTTGAGTTTTGTCTTGGAGTCTAGCTCAGTCTTAAGACTTGGACTTTAACTCAAAAACTGGAGACTTGACTTGGAGTCTAGCTGAATGTCTTGAGATTTGGACTCAAACTCAAAGACGAGACGTGACTTGGAGTCTAGCTCAAAAGCGTTAGACTTGGCTTGGAGTCTAGCTGAACGTCTTGAGATTTGGACTCAAACTCAAAGACGAAACGTGACTTGGAGTCTAGCTCAAAGACTTTAAGTCTATGTCGTGCAAACTGGATTGTCGCTGGAGTTGAGAATAAACAACAAGATGAAATGTTGTTGGCAGAACACATAGGTTTACCAGCTGGCCGGAGAGCAGTGAACCTACATTTACAATATACAATATCAACATAAAAAATCTGCTAATATTTATAGATAAAGGGACCAATCAAAATACTAAAATACGAATAATGTAGGAATCTGTGAAGCAACTGCAAATAGACAGGCCCAGAGGGCTATTTATCCATTCAGTTTCAAATGAATGAGTTAATTTATTGACTAGTTGAGTCGATTAGTAGACAATATTCACATATGATATGATATGATTCACATATATCAAAATGAAATATGTATAATGAGAATGCTTTTCTGGCACCATGAATTAGCCATGTGGGCTATTATTCAAAGCTAAAAGCTAGAAGACAAAGATGAGCCAAGTAGATTGTAAGTAAAAATCAAAGCTTAGAAACTTTCGTTGGCATTCGTCATTTTAAAGTTGTCTTCATGTTTGCATGACAATGTCAGACAAACAATCCACTCTAGTTTCAGCTGATTGTCTGACAACTGAATGTGATGAAAGTGTTTCTGTAATATCTGTTGACATCTGGCACAATTGCAAAATGTGCCATTTAGATTTTCAGCATTTCAGCACAGAAGAATCTGGGAACCAGAAATATGTGGTTGTCATCTAAAATGAGCAGCACATCAGTCATTTCATCACATACGCATATTAATGAAACACTGAATCAAAATGTGATGCCATTTTAGTTGTGTGTCACTTCATATTATGTCTTTTTTGAATGTGTGATTTTATCTACACTAACTGTCACACAGAACAAAATAGACATACAGAATAAACATGTTTATTAGCCACAAGTTATCATTAAGGTGAAGTAATGCATAGCTACAATTGAAATTAGTAATAAAAAAAGATTCCCTGTATTAACAATGTTTAGTCAGAAAAGACACAAATGCAATCTCCCAGATTCAAACACCCGTAAACATGACATGAGATGCATTTAGGATTTGAATAAACGTTCTCTCAGTGCACTGACTCATTCTACAGGGTGCATGTTACTAACACCCTAACTTGACAAAATCAAGTTCAATCCTTTTTCTTTAAAAAAAAGGTAGAGGGAGTATTGAACACTTTTAGTACTGTAGTATAAATAGTGAAAAAACATTTTCTTCATCTCATGTATTGAATGATACAATAAAACAAGCTGGGTACTGTTGGATATTTATTTCTGCTGGTTGTACATAAACAGTTGGCGATGAAGAAAGAAGACACTGCTCTCCTGCTGTCTCTGTTTGGGAGGCATTCTGTGAAGCGGGGGCCTCTCGTCATGCCCTGCTTCTCTTAAGTTGTGTACATCAGCGATGTGATCCCCGTGCCAGCTCTGACCCTGGCAGCTCTACTGCGTTCTTAAGGCCTTGGCATACACGGGCTCCAGGAAATGAAAGGGGAGCAGCATGAAGAACACCACCAGAAAGACCGCGCTCACCACCGCCAGCAGCACGTAGCGTCCGATGAACAAAGTGTCCACTATCTGTAGAGAAAGAGTGTACCCGTTCACCGTCAGGAGTTCTCAGCAACTACACACAGTAAACAGTATCCAGTGCATGGGAAAAGCATGGCTGTTCAAAATTCTGTATTTCCTCTATTAGCCACTAGATGTCAGGCGAGGGCCTTCACAGAGGCTTTGTGTAGAAGCATGTAGCCTTATGTGAGGCTAGCAATGGGCACTCGGTTTACAGACAGACAAACCATACAAACAGACAGTTACAATAACGTCTTGCCTTCAAAGTTGATATAATTTATTTTTCTAACAGTTGACAATGCAGAATAACTGACGGTCACCAGAAGTTGAATTGATGCGACAGTGCACACTGGAAGCTTCAAGGGCCGCTCATCCAACATGTCTGATACAGTGCCTTAGACAGCAAGGGTCACCTGGTCCACTCATGTTGCTGTAGAATGTACACTGGCTGATGCCATATCACATGTCTGGACATTGACAGACATCTTTACTTGGGTTACCTTCTAGCTGGCTTCTTTCTGTGATTTACTGCTGACTGCTGCCAGACGTAGGCTTTGAGAGAACACATGCATATTTGGCTGCACAGTTAGATTTCATTTGAGATGATTCTGAATGATGAACTGCCAAATTCTGCAGACCTGTATTGACTGATTCATCTGTTGAGAAAGTGATGGAGACTTCAAGTACAACCTAAACAAACTCTAGTGGTACATTTCGGGTCCTAAATGGTAGAAAGGTGGCAGAAATATAAGTTAATTCCCTCATGACCTCTTCAGTAAACACTCTCACATAGTTTGCTATTTACAACTTGTTTATTATTTTGGAGAAATGAACGATTGGTCGCCACGCCCTCGGCTTGGAGAAGCGAGACAGGAGTTACCGCAGGGAAGCAAAGCAATGTGCTGCTGTGGTCGAGGCAGCAGGAAAACATATGTTAGACACTCAAAAGAAAGGCTCACCTTTAGCATACGCTAAATTAAGAATATTTTGGGCTGTTTAGCTTGTCTTGGGGCTGCCATTACCCACGGGGAACTGCAGCGTGGGTAAAACAAATGTCATTTTACCTTGCAGAATCAGTTAGTTAGTTTGTGTTGTTGTGTGACTTTGGTGAATCCAAAAGAGCCAAAGTCACACAATAACACAAACACAGTAACTGATCGAGGCAGCAGTGGACCAGCGCCTCTGGTGATCTGTTTCTTTCAACGGAGTCTGGTGGCTCTGGCGAGAGCGTGTGGTAGATAGCGGCTTCGGTTCCCTGTCAGAAAAACATGCACTGTATAGCTGTCTGAACCAGCAGAAATACTCCAGATACAGTCACACTCACACCGATACCTTTAGGTGTCTGCGTCCACAGCAGTACATATCGCTTTGCTTCTGTGCTGACTGTCATCTACTGTAAGTGATACACTGAGTATGGAGAAGTGCCTCATTCAACCCCACTTCAAAACAACTAAACTCTCCCTTTAATGAGTGATAAAGTTATTCAACGTATTAGATCTGTATCTGTGCCGATACTGCGGCAGCTAGATGTGACTGATCCACATTCAATACTGTCTCCACTGTTGTTACAAAAACATGTAATCTCATAACATGCGAGAATATGTTTAAAATTGACAAAAGCCTAATAATAAAGTCAGCATATTAACGTCTCCTCTTAAAGTAATGTGTAGTTACAGAACGACGAGTACTGATATTAGAACACTGATCAGCCAATAACCTGAGTTTATTTAACAGAAGCAGTGAGAGTGCTGATAGATAGATTGGTGACCACTTTATAAAGAGATACCTCATCTATTACTGTATTTCCTGATTGTATCCATGTCAGCTCTGCCTCTCAAACCTGTGGGCTCGGACACACAGACAAGTGCTTATTGATCTGTACAGGAACTCGCCCTGTGTGTTCGGGGAATAACCTGTGCAGCAGTGCATTTGAAGACATGGCATGTTTGTTGTTTCACCGTTGAGAACTAAAAGCTGATTCCGGGGCGCCGGCTATTTCCTGATCCTGAGTAACGAGTGGATTCCAGGTCTTAAGCAAACCGGCGCACGACTTGGAGAAACAATAGATCATCGAGATTAGCATCGGTGTTGCTTAAATTAGGCGCAGTTGGAGTTCATAAAGTTGCCATCGACAGATTTAATCGCTGCTTCACTCGTAGCTCTGGGTCTGTGTTAATATTTCAATCATGAGCCGTCCGTGAATATGTGAATACAAACTGAGAAAACGCCCTGAAGCAGCAGTGTGAGCCCTACTGCTGACTGAAGAGAGATTCCACAGGGCTGTTGTGGAATCACAGTAGGTGTGTGTGTGTGTGTGTGTGTGGTTGTGTGTGTGTGTATCTAGCTTAATGTCTCGGAGAGGGGGTGGGGTGGGGGGTGATGTATGCTGTTTCTTATGGATGCATTTAACACATCTCACTTTTTAATTTGCCAATTACACAGCAAGCAGGAACCCAAAGTGTGGGCCATGTTTTATTAATATGCCATTGAGCGCATGGGTGGTAGCTGGCAGACGGGTGGGGGGGCAGGTGGGAGAGGGGGTGGGGTCTAGTATGACCCCCCCCCTCAGTCTGGGACTGGCCTAATTGGCACTCTGATATTTGACTTTTGTTCAACAGCAGTAGGTTAGGCTTTTCTTACACATCTCTCTGCTTACATGTGAGATTTCAGGAAATGAAAATGAGTCGACATCAAAACATGATATTCAGAAGACGCCATCGCTAGTAAATCGGGTTTTCACCCTCACATGCATTTGTACCTTTGTTTGAATTCTGTTAATGATCACATATCTGAGGATTCTTAATAATTAAAACATCAGTTGTTCTGGCTCTGTATGAAAACGGTCAGTTGTAATTATCAAAGATGAGGCAGGGTTAGGGTTAGGGTTGGGGGGTAAGGGTTAGGGTTCGGCAGATCGGAGGTAGTCGATGCTCGGGCTGCTATCCCTCTCTCAATCCTTACAGACTCAATTTAAATCTTTATTTCTTGAGACGTATTGCTTATATTCTTGATACTGTCTTTTATTAGGATGCATACTGTCAGTGTTGTTGTGTTTATATTTTAATGTTTTAATGTCATGCCGAATGAGCAATTTTCCACATTTGTGGACAATGAAATGTATTCTATTTAATTCTAAAAACTACCCATTGAAATAAGCAAATGGTAAAAATATCCAATTGATCAAATAACCTACTGTTTGAGAATATTTGTAATTGCTTCACTAATTAATGATAAACCCTCACAATTTATGGAAATAACAGCCTACTTGATAATCAATAAAGGTAGAGAACTCTAAACAAAGCAGACTGATGGTTGGTGATGATGTCTGCAAGCATTATAAGGTGTCAATATTACAAGGGATGTTAAATGTGAGCTCTTTTAAACACTGGAACCAGTTTGTGAGGTCTCCATGGGTTCATGCTACCCGTACACCTTGTACAGACACCCAGGAAGCTGCGTCGTGCCGCCTCTCTCTGTTGCTGGTCGGGTATCTGCCTTTGCACAAAGGCTATAAAGTGCGAGCTCGCTATTTCTATGGGGTGGCAGCTTGCTTGGCAGATCTGGCTGGCTCATTGGCACGACCCCGAGGCGACATGGGGGGAGTGTTTGTTCTGTGTTGCTGTTGGACTAAGATAAAGCGGAGCAGGCCTTTATGACAAGCACACACACAGACGGGCGCGCACAATGACACATGCTATTTACAGGCTTACAGCACTGTGGATACTGGCTTATATCAGAGTTGAGGTTTTGTTTGGGATGGGTTGTTGTTTAAATTCACCTACCTCAAACCTAAATAGAGCTTATATCCTCAATCAGCACAAACACATTGTGTTCTGAGTAACAAGCACACATGATCGGAGCTTTGCCTTTCGGCATTTGGACCATACACACACACGCACACTCAAATATAAGAAAGACCATACATCTCTGATAAAGATAAGTTTGTTTGACTGTAGCTACTGTTCTTAAATGTTTCATGATGCATGAGAAGAGAGAACAGAAATATCATTTTTGGGAGCACAAAGGTGGGTATGACATGACCATTGAGCTGAAGTAGTTGGTCTGTGGGCTCTGAATCCTCATATTCACTCAGCGGCCTCCGTACACAAAACATTTGGTAGTGATGAAAGCCAAATAGCCCTCATCAAACTGTAAACATCCAGGCCTGCTGTTATTTGCAAACTGAATTACATTATGCTGTTATCATGCACAGACCATCATAACACGAGACTCTGTGCTTTTAATGCAATAAATGGTCGAGAACACTGATTTGGAGTAGTTCCTTGTCATAGCTTTGGCAGCGGTAGAAGTTTAAATTGCCTCTTGATGTAGAGGAACGCTTATGTAAAAACCTTTCTCTCTGGTATTTGCATTTTAATATAGTGCGAAATAGTTTTTAATGTGCATTCAGCTCACCTCTATCTCTTTGAAAGGGGGGGTTGTCTCTGGGCTGCGCGGGAACAACACCAGCACCAGAGTGATGGTGAGAGCCAGTAAGAACATGGGGATAATGCCTAACCTGGCAAGACACAAAACACACATACACAGTTGAAAAAGGATAGCATGAGGACTCCCACTGCTGATTTGCAGTAAACACAGGGTTTTCTGAGGATAATGTCATTATCAAGTACCAATCAAAACAATGGCATTCTTTATTGTGTTTTTAAATAGTTGTTAACTTTCCAATCAAGTAAATGGCACCATGTTTCACCCCATTTAGACTGTACTGTAATTGCATCTTACACAAGTGCATCATGTTTTGTGTCACAGTGCATTCTAGAAAGAAATGAACCAACTGTAATAGTACCAGGGTCTGTTGTAGCCTTTGCACAAGTACTGAAAGCAGGGATTGGAAAGAACATGGTCCCAGCAATCGATCAGTACAGCAGTATGTGGGTAAAGGCTTTACCCATTGCTTCATAGAATTTAGCTAAGCATCAGGAACATAGATATATTTGCTGATCTATCTAGGGAAAGAAGAAAATATTTAGGTGGCAAAAAATATGATAGAGTTGCAATCTTTCTGTGTGAAATCCAGGCCAAGGTTATTTTTTTTCAGAAATTGATTCATAACTGCTCAATACAGCTTAAATTCTGTTATGAATCTGAGTTCACTCAGTTTGACTTCGACTTTATTTCAGCTTTGAGTTTCCTGACATTACTACATATGTCCTCCCCTAAACACACCACTGTGTTCAACAGTCAGCTGGGTTCATGAAAAGTGTTTGTTTTTTTCGCATTTTATTGAAATAAATCTCTCACACATATGCCGAATTTCTGAGGAAACCTTACTAATGCCCCTGTTGAAGAGATGTGTGTTCCAGTAGAGGTATGCTTTGGCCAACATTCAAACTAACATTAAAGTGGAGGAAATGTTTCGGGATTAAGGAATTGACTGACTGATTCACTGTCACAGATAACCTGGGTTTTTCTCTATCAATGCATGCGATACGTTCTAACCGGGTTAGTGTAAGGAGTGTGTGGAGGTGTTGTTCTCACTCACTTTGCAGATACAGATGCTCTCAGCAGCATCATCCCAAATACAAGAAATACAATCCAAACGATCGCAATGACGAAGACGCCCGTGCCGACTTCTAAAACGGTGCTTGCCATTTTCACGGTAACTAAAGTTAGTTTACCCGACACACAGAACAGTAACAAGTGAAGTTGGTCAAATTAGTTTTTACGACTGACGTTCGTGACATAACTTAAGCAATGCAGTAACAACAAAGTTAAGGTTAGCTAAAGTTAGCTACATTAGCTTAATTACTGTAACTTCCACCGTAGTGTGAGTTAGCTACCGTTAGCTGTCGCTGCTAGCTCTGCTCTGCTGAGGCAGACAGCTGCATGCTTCGTGAAACCGTGAACAATGGATCGATGTTCGATCTCCCCACCCCTTCAGAATGATTATTAGCTGTCCATTAACCCGTCATTTCTCAACCAGTTCGATAGATAAAGCGTTGTCCGTCGCGTCTTCTACTTCCTGGTAACAGCAAACTGGGGTTTGATTGGATACACCAACTCACGACGGGCCAATCACGTGCATCGTTACTGAAAATCCGAACAGTGTCGAATAGACTGCAGAACTTCACCCAGCTCGTTTTTACCATTCATACAATTTAGGTTTGATCATTTACTTTTCTTCTGTACACTTAAACATCTCTTATTGATTCGATGCCACACATTTTCTTTATCTCGAGAAGCGTTTTTTTCTAATATTTGTTCTTATCACCATATAAATACGCTATTAGGTCCATCAACTCGTCATTTAGGGGTCAGGATCGGTAGCAAATGGATAACTACCACCAGCTTAAGCTACTTAAACTTAAACTCTGTTCTTTTGACATTAAGTCAATTCTTCCGTGTGTTTTCAGCTGGCAGGACGAAATAGATTGAACTGATTTGGGTCTGAATATAAATGTCTATCTTATTACCAGCAGCCTTCTGGTTCCCATCATCCCACCTGTCTTTTTGAAGCATGCAATTATTAATGCGGACCAACAGGGGGCTGGCCAGATCCGCGGTTCAAAGGCCCCAGTCCCGCTCAAAGTGCTGGTGCCTTTGCGCGTTTACTGGGAAAAGACATGTTGCCTTTGAGTAACCCTCGTAAGATCCAACCACTCAGTGTTTATTTATGATTTGGATAACTAGGCAGACGGTAGGATTGGATCATGTTCAGAACCTCAGAACCACTGACAGCAAAAGCCGTAAAGCAAACCGAGTTCTAATTTACACCAAACTCTACGGGGAATTTGGTTTTCTCGTTGTGTTTGCCTGAAACTCCCTCAGATGATTTGAGTTCCTCCCGCAACCTCAAACAAATCCAGTAGATTAAAGACGACCAGCATGGAGAGGGCATTATTCTCTGATCCTTACTCACACAGAGGAGCCACGTGTTCAGGGTCTAGTTTCTCTTTGAGCTATTAAGACTCAATCTTTGGTAAACCTGAATAGGTAAGAACATAACCGAATTAAAGTTATTAGATGAATCAATACAAAAACACATTCAATAAACACATTTAAAGAATAAACAAATTATGAGATGGAGTTTTTACCTTTACATTGATTGCATACATCAATTTTGCTTTGGTGACTATGAATCAGTAGTTTAACAGGCCACAATGAGTGCATTAATTGGAAAATTACAAAATTGACAGGGTATTCAATTCATTATGTTTCTGGCAACAAGACCAAACCCTGAATCTCATGTAGGCCAAAGTCATCTTTTCCTCACGTCACAGCTTGTGTCACATTCACCAGACGCCTCATTCTCACAACACATGTGGAACCAACTGAAGTGACTCAATAAAACTATTACAATATTAATAATAATAATATTGACAGGCAAGTTTATTTATATTCATTTCAAAATAGCACACAGGAGACATATCTTTTTGATCACTGCGTGTTATGTTACAAATGCCGGTTATTGACTGTAAATCTTGAATGTGTCATTCAAGCTGATCAGGAAAAAAAAAATAATGATAATACAGGAAGAATATCAGGTCTTTCTTTCTTTTGGTGCTTCATCGCCTCCAACCAACATCCCCGCACCGTTCTCGCGGAGCCCCACGCGTGAGTGCCGTATTTCCCACGGACACTGGAAGGCATCAGCAGCCCGGTGTTGGGAAAAATACGGGGAGCGGAGATGGAGATGGGAGGGGCCAGGCGCGGCTGACGTCAGCGGCTGTGTGGAGGAGTATAGGCTGTGCTGTCAGCCCAGTGTCAGTCTGATGAAGATTGGCATGCAGGTAAGCTGTCATTCATTTTCAATGTCAGTGCATGGGAGCAGGGCTTTACCACTTCAGCGTCCTCCCCCCCCCCCCCCCTCCCCCCTTCATTACAAAAGGCAGGACATTATTCATACAGTCAGCCAGCCAGCCAGCCAGGCCAGAGTGAGAGAGCGAAAGAGAGAGGGAGGGAAAGAAAGAAAGAGAGAGAGCGAGAGAGAGAGCGAGAGAGAGAGAGAGAGAGAGAGAGAGAGGGAGGGGGGAGAAGAGGAGGGGGAGAAAAAAGAGAGAGGGAAAAGAGAGGAGATGCATTTTTGTGCTGGACTGAGAGACCAGTGGATTTTTTTCTTTTGCTTGATGCGGTGTTTGGATAAAAAAAAAAAGAATGTGTTGGTAATGTTTGTGATGCACGGATATAGGATGTGTTGAATTTAACGGCGGGTGCTTTTAGTGCGAAAGATTGTCATTTAGAGAATTGTCACAATAACAGTGACCGGAGACAGAATGAGCGCATGTAGCTGCAGGAAGCTGGCGTTTTTATTACGGCTTTGTCAACGAGCACCGGACTGTACATGGCATTCTGATTATTTGTGAATTTGCAGTGAATTTCTGATGGTGTAAATCTGCCGTGCAAAAAAGAAAAAACCCGTATTGTTAAGTGAAGTTACGTGGTGTGTTTTATTCGAGTAAAATGCTTTTATTTTGACTGGTAAGATTTATGTGTTTGTCAAGAAAAAAACGGCAAAGGATTTTCAGAGTAAAATAACTTACACCCATATTTGATCCAAGTTAATACGGCAGTTTTCTTTGTTCATAATAAATTGTATTGTAGACAGTACAGTACACAGTGCTACTCTGTGTATGTGTGTGTGTGTGTGTGTGTGTGTGTGTGTGTGCGCATGTGTGTCTACTCTGTGTGTGTGCCTGTGTTTGTTTGTTTTTGACAAAAATAAACAAATTAACACAGCATATATATATATATATATATATATATATATAACCACCTTTATTTGAAAATGTTTCTTTTTTTAAATCATTGATTTAAAGAGCTTACCTTTTGTGAATATCTAGTTTTTTATATGTGTAACTTGTGACAGCTGTCAGTTTTCATTTTTTGTTTGCAGTTAATGTACAGCATTTAAACAAAAGTTTTTTCATACAAAGCTAGTGTCTTGCAATTATTCCAGAAAAAAATGTAAAGCAAAAAAAAAGCCTACCTTCCTCACTTGTCTGCATTTTAAAAGGTCAAACAGGGAGTCTAAGCCTCTTTGCATTTCTTGATGAATACATCTTTGATTGAAGTATTTAATGCTCAACTATCTGCATCTCAGTGAGGTCTAATGTTTACTCCCAGCCCTGTGAAACCCCTCTAGACTGAACACTGGCCTTCTTTGTGAGCCACTCACCACTTTCTATTTCAGATGACCACTCTATTCCACAATTGCCCGAATGACTATTTCACTCGTAGGAGATGTTCGGCCGACATGAAATGCTGTGAGTGTGATTTGACGGAGGCTGTGTCCCTCAGACAGCATGTGTCTCTACTTTATTTGTGAGATCATTCTGTTAAAAAAGGCAGCGATTCGCAGGTAGTTTGCTGTGTTGCTAGTTTTATGAGTCAACTCCTCTGTTCAGTCTCGTTCTGCTTTGATCTCGGCCTCTCGAATATCACAAACATGTCCCTGTACATCCACAGATTTGGTAAAAACACGTTGCTAAGTGTAAAGTTTAGGAAATATAACTCCAGTGTCTGTCACTTAACGTCACAACTCTATTGCAAAGTGAAGGCCCCTCTCAGCAAAGACCATGGTGCGAGCTTTGGGAGTACATTAGCCTAATTAATATGCCTGAGCCATTTGTTTACTAATCATCTGCTTCCCTGACAAATCACAATGGCGATTTAGACCACTTTAGCTCCCTCCGTCAAACACATTGGGCAGGTGCGGAGTGCTGAGCATAGAATCCCATGAGGAGCTAAACTCGCACCACAGTGAAAGAAACCGTTTTGAAAGACTCGTTGCTGTTGAAAGACCAAAAGATGATCATTATACAATGATTGTGCACCTTTTGTCAGTGTCTCAAAGTGGTACGCTTTAGCTGAGAATGGATCTTGATGGTGCGCACGCACACACACGCACACACACACACACACACACACGAGTCAAAGCGCATCAGCGCTAATCACCCTCAGTGATGTTTGTTCTTTGTTGTGATGAACCCCACACGGCTCTACATATCGTCAGATAGGATTAATACCAATTTAGTTTATCCCCAAACCCTGCTGAGATCTTAATTGATGATTTGTGTCATTGGACAAGCAGCCCGGGGGCGAATCTGCTGCTGCAGTATTTGCATATTCTCGTTCCTACTATATGGGCAAATTACATGATGAGGTGTGGTGCTGTGCATTCCTGCAGCTTTTGGGGGGATAATCGCTAATAAAGTGATTCAGTCACACTAAATGAAGGAAGTAAACAGAGCGAGGAGAGCATATGTTACAAACCAATTTAAGCATTTATGTATGGCCATAAAGCAATCGAGGAAATTAAACCACAAAGTAAATGTCTTGTCACTTCCTTTCGCCTTTGCCTCTAATTCCAGCCTGCATGGTGCAGAAGAAACCAGTATATCACTCTTGAGAAGATCCAAGATTTGTTTTCTTTTAAGGGTCTCGTAAGACTACCAGGCCTCACTTTGCAAGATTCCTTTTCTCAGCAATCCGATTGTGAGATGTCTAATTTGTTTTGTAGGGCCTCACTCTTTTAAATCAGGCAGGAAAAAAGCCAGAGGATGTTTAGAATTATTCATAAGGCTTTAGTCTGCCGGGTATCCTCAGCGGAGTGCATCTAGGTCCTGTTCCGGGCCCGTGGGCAATGTGATGTAGGCTAGTTTTTCTCATGTTCAGTAGAGCAGCAATCGTTAAGACAATTGTGTTGTGTTGCATGTTCGGGGCCGTGTCCGGGCCCCCCCACAGGTCATGCCCACTAAGCCCGCTTGATCCCTATTGCTCTCAAGAAGAGACGGAGGCCTGTTTATACCGTCAGACGGCTCAGCTTAAAGACAGCCCCTGCATGCTTACCCTTGCTCATTCCGTAGCCAGTGCTGCGTTGGCATGGCTCTAAGTAAGCCACCAGGGAGCAGGGTCGGAGAGAGATGGATCGGCTTGATTTATGCTCCAAGAGGAGCAGCAGGCAAATTTAATGATCCTCCATGCTGTCAACATCACGGAGC